GTAGTGAAAGTTGTGCACAAGTTGCATTTAAAGTTTCATAACCATAGGTGTGTTAATAATGGAAATATTACATTTTGAAAATATATTGACAACACCGTAAGAACCAAACGTAGCAAGTCCTCATAACATTAAAAAATAAATATAGAACAATAATAATAAACTACAAGTATAAAGCATATTTTAAACAAAATTTACTGAACACAATTTTAAAATGATATCATCAAATTTGTGAAGGGGACGTTCTTTTATCATCTACAGCATATTCACAAGACACAGGGTGAATCACTATGCGCGTATTCTTCGATATCTCGTTAATTATTATTAGAAATATGTAGAAACAAAAGTCTAAGACAGTACTTTAGACTTTAAAATTATTTTTAACTATACAAACTGGTCTATTTTTAAGGCGTAAATCATAACTTATTTAAATGAAACACCCTATATATTTTACATATTTTGATTGACCTCTTATTAGGTTTTAAAATCACAGTTTATTTGTGAAATCCCGATGCGACGTTGCCACGTTATTACAATTTTTTGGAAAATTTTAGCCATGGAAGAGTTCACAAAAAATTGTAGCATGGTTATTCTTTAAAATTGTGTTACAATATTTCATGGAGAGAACAAAAAACGATACGGGCTTTGTTGTGGCGCAAATAAATTAAATTTTGTGTGTTTATAAAAAAATAATTATTACAATTTTCGAATAACGATATTCCAGTGTTTTCAAAAAGAACACTTGTATTTTGTGACTGTATTATTATTCTATTTTCTGTTATCTTTATTTTATTTTTGTAAAGTATTTTTTGTATTTAAAGTTGATAGTGTTGTGATTTTGTACTTTTTTAAGAGACATACCTATATCGGGTGTCTGGAAAATGGCGAATTAACTTTTCAGTACGTTATATACGGGGGTTTCAGGAGTCCCAAAAAAGTTATAAAAAATTCTTTATGAAGTAGATTACGAAAAAAAAAACCGTAATTTTATAAAAGTAAAATTGGCAACACTGCACGCACCTGATTCGTGAATACCTCCCGCTTATTTTCTGATTTCTTAGTAAGGATGGCGACTGAAATCCATCTCTTATTTTTTTTTAGGACAATAAACATAACAACCAGTAGTCATTAATCGTTGTACATTATTACTAATAAAACAAGCTGTATTATTTTTCATTAATAAATAAACCAAAAAGAAACCATTTAATAAAACATTTATAAATTATAAACAAAAACAAAACCAACACAAGAAAAATCCATTAAAGCATAACCAACTAAATACTAGAGAAGGTGTTCAAAATTCCTGCATATAAGTAAGCGCGTAATGAGGGAGGGTGGGTGGGCGGGACTCGTAGCTGCCAAGATAAGACTAACTTTGGTGAAAGACATACCCTCTAAGAGAAGAGGGGGTGGGTGGGCGGGGCTAGTAGTTGTCAACATAAGACTGATTTTGACAAATAAGATACCTTCTAAGAGAAGAGAGGGTGGGTGGGCGGACCTAGTAGCTGCCAAAATAAGACTGATTTTGGCAAATGACATCCCTCTAAGAAAAGAGGAGGTGGGTGGACGGGGCTAGTACCTACTAAGATAAGACTGATTTTCGCAAATGACATCGCGTCTAAGAAAAGAGAGGGTGGGTGGCTGGGTGGAGCTAGTGTCGGCTAAGACAAGACTGATATTGGCAAATGACCTACTCTCTAAGAAAATGAAGGGCGAGTAGAGGAGGGTGGTATAGTGAACCAAGAGCTATAAGGTTATATGGTCATCATAAAAGTAGTTGACCGCAAATAAATACCCCCTTTGTGTGGTTCGCACTAAGCTTACCGGTTGGCAATAAATCATCTTCTAAACATTTCTTGCTCATATTTAACAGGGCCGGCTTTCAAAGCGAGTGGTTATTTCGGAACCCTCAGCGGCTGCAGGTAGTAAAGAAATAGTGGAGTGGTGGATTTTCATATTTAGTGAAAGCCGCCCCTGAACGAAACCACAAGAGCCGGTTGAGCTGCAGTGGACACGTTATTTACGACCCTAAAACCTTTTCTATTGTAAACAACTTAACTTCGACACAATGGGATGATTTTATGATGGCCATATAACCTTATAACTCTTGGTTCACTATACTTACTAAGATAAGACTGATTTTCCCAAATGACATACCCTCTAAATGAAGAGTAGTCTTATCTTAGCGAGTATTACCCCCCCCACCCCACCCTTTATTTTCTTAGAGGGCTAGTCCCTGCTAAGATAAGAAATTTGTAAAATTAAATTTTGCAGCAGGATTTATAACAAATATAATGAAATTTTTTAAATTTTGATAACAAAATAACATTGATTTAATGATACAGAACATCGATTACGTTATTTAAAAAAATTATGAAGTAAATGTTTGTTAAAAATATGCATTAAGACGCAATGTTGTTTGTACTTTTGTGGTATCTTTTTATTTTCTCAAATTTATTAATACTGTATGTGTGAAAAAAGTACTGTTGCACTGCATCTATCGAAATAGATATATTTGTTCCCACTACAAAACTGATGACGTCATCACTAAATTCCTTTGTCTTCAGTTTAATAATTTTAAATAATACAGTACTTTTAATTTACCACATAGTGACTAAGATAAAAAACGCAGAATAAAATTTTGTAAATTATCTAAACAACTGTGTAATTGATTGTGCTTCAGGTGCGAGAGAAGTTCTACCTAAATAACTTTAGATTAATTTGTTTAGAATTGCTTACACAGTATGTCTCAGCAAATTAATGTATGAAGCAGTTTATTTTAATGATTATCTTAGAAACAGCTCATCTAAATTCTTTGGAGTTCTGGAAACAAACTAACGTGTCTAGTGTTACATTGTACATATTAAAATTAATATATATCAACATTGGTGCAGCAAAGCAACAAAAGAAAGGTGTACTAAATTTTCACTAGTATATTCTACTCCTCGATACAGGGTGGTAGGGCTTATTCTTTTAAAAATATACCAAAAATGGACTCCATCCTCGCAAAAATCACAAAAATATGACGACATACTTAAACAATTTTAATTTGATGCGATGTGCAGTACATTAATCATGGTAACAAAGATTCAAGGGATAAAAGTTAGTTCTCGCCACCAACGTCTGAGACAAATTAACATCAGTCCGCCTCCGTCCTCACATCATATGGGCGAGAACGTGATCCAGAGTTTTTCGGTGGGTTTTTACACCCAAATGACGCCCACATAATTAATTATACGAGGATTAATCCAGAAGAAAGTTCTGCTATTTTTTAAACGACGAGTTTATAAAAAATATTTACGCATGAAATTCTTTATTTCATAGACCACCTTTCAACGTTGTGTTTTTTTGTTATGGCACTTGTAACAAGGTATAAGCTATTGTATACTTTTACTGCAAGATTCGTTGGCACTTATTTAACTACTTGTGAATAATTCCATCTAAGATAGTCCGGAATATTTTATAAAACTGTAAAGAATTGCTAGTATCTTTTGTATCCGTTCTTTAGTTGAGATGTTGACCGCTGTCGCTGGTGTCGCTTGGGCTAAAACCATTAATAATTTATAGTTGTGTGGATTGCCCGCTGTGACTTAAAAAATCTAGGCGCCAGATCTAAATCAATTTTTTTTTTTGTTTGCTATATAATGAATGTGAAATTATTCATAGATCAGTTAAAGTTCTATATGATAATGAATTGAAAACAGATATTTACTGACTGGCTAATAATAATGTAAATCAGAGTGGCCACTATTTGTTCATAATCTGGATTTAAAATTTATTTTTAACTTACACGATAAGCGAAATATCTAATTTACACTGATCTAATAGTGCTGAAATATTCTTCGTTTATTATTCTGAAATTCAAGCTTTTTAAATGTTAATTTTTAAACAAAGATCTCTCTGCACGAAGAAAGTACACAAAGTTAGATTGATTTTTTACTACCACACTCTGGTTTTTGATTTTTGAAGTCGACTTAATCATCCAGTTACTTGGTGATGTGAAATGCAATAAATCAGGTTCTCAAAATTGAGCCACATGCAGTATGAAATATTAATCAAATAATCATTAAGACATTTTGTTTGTTAGTCTGATTTCTATAAACTGACAAAGTCTTTTATCTGAATCTTCAAAATCTTTCTCTAAAACTAGAGTGTAACATTGAATTAAACATGATATAGTGTGCGATAAAAAAGAGGTTGGTGCTACTGCTGCCTTCAATTTGATGTAAATCAAAGTCACTTTGATACAGGTAACAGATTTGATATAGTGCCAAAGTCGTTTTTTAAACCCAAAAGAATACCAAAATAATGAATTTTGAAGGATAACACAATTTTATGAACGAGAGTATACACTATTGATTTTAGTAGTTAACTTCCGTTAAAAACATTCATTAATTTTAATTATTTTAATTATTAGTAGAGTTTTACCTTTAATTAATTTAAATCTACAGAAAACAGAAATTAGAATATGTATAATTAATTTTATTAATATTTTTATGGCATTTAAAAAATTGAAAAACCATAATTCAAAATTTAAAATGTATTACGAAACAATGAAATATGAAATTGAAATAGATTTTTTATAATAAAATCACAAAAAACACAGAATTAAAATTTGGTTCTCCTGGCTTGTGTGTTTATATCTCAACAGGAAAACCTGGAGGTTAGGCCGCCTTCGCTAAATATAATTTTATAAAGTTTCGTCTCAGTTTATATAATTTTCTCAATTAGTTTTGAATGTTCAATAAAACCTTGTTTGCCACAATGTTTCGTCTCAATTATTTCCTGTAAACAGCATGACCCACCTTGAATTAAAAAATCGGTCAGAATTTTAAAATAACTAATATTTGACCATCGATACTCGACGAAATTTAAAGTCAATTTTTGTTGCTTTGACCTGGAATGACTCGCTGGTGAACGCACGTGTACGACTCCAATAACCGCAACCATAATAAGCGCATATATTCAAATGAGTCAGAGTTTAGCCAGAGAAAGACACTCACCAGGTACTGGTGTGCTGGGTCTCGACGGAGGACCTGAAGGCTTCAGCCCGGAAGGTTTGTTGACGGCGTTCTGTTTGGTGTGATCGGTGGCGTTGGCGGCGCTTTGCGCTATGGCAGGAGGCGGCGGCTGCTCCTTCTTGCCCGGATTGGATACCACCAGGGTGACCAAGCCTTCAGTACGTTTCAGCAAGTTGGCGGCCTGCAAAGTCAGGAAAATATGACACTTTTCTATCGAGAAGCAGAGTGCGACAACGCGCAGCGCAGCGTGAGCATCTCACCTTAAACATGATATAAAAATATTCAAACACGGGATACTGAGTTTACATTAGTGGCATATGTGGGTAGGTGTTATCTGGATGTTTTTATCATGTAAACGTTAGATTATTTAATGAACTAACACAACGGTGTATTGTGGAAGATTAAAATTAAAACGTTAAGATATTGCATAACTGATGCGGATATTAAGTACCTAGTGGAGGAGGGAGGAAACGGATGAAGGGAAGTGGAACGAAAAAAGCGAAAAAGCTGATATTGCCGCTAAAGGAGAGCTCAATCGCTGAAATTGCTTTTATTTTTATGGTGTGGACCAAGACATTCAGACGTGTCGGTTATTGCTATGAAAGCAGACATCTACTTACAACACCTATCATGCGTGAGGATGAGCTTTTTTCCAAATCTGCGATCCGATGAGATTTAGTCTACAGTTCGCGTACTGAAGACGGCTAAAACGATAAAAATAACAGACATGCAACTCAAACACTTTAAAATAACCGAATTCTTTATAATTTGATTTTTATATGTATGGGGACGACCATACGATAAGTACAACAACACAAAACTCAAAGAGTGATTTTTGCTTTTTAAGCTAAACTATTGGTTTTTGTAAACCATAACAACAAATAACTAAATTAGATTAAATTATGTTAAAAAAATTTACGATATTTTGAACACTGCTTTCGACAATGTAGGAGTGACAGTTCAATGTTCAAGGATGAGACATTTTTGACATTGTAGATTTGTTACATAATTTTTTGGTTCATAAGTGATAATTTTGAGCCAATTTTATCGTTCATTTATGATGGAATATCCTCTTTGTAGCTAAAATATTGTGTAATACAAATTCTAGAAGTCTACTTTTGTCATATTTTTAAATTAGAATTCGCTTGACGAATTTTATTAAAAGTTACTGAAAATTTAAAAATACCGTCTAAAATTTCGAATAACACTAGCACAGTTAAATAGGGATTATAACATTATTCTGACAATGTTACTTAACAACTAAAACTTTTATAAATTTGAAACACTGTCCCGTAAGAGGTATTAAATTGAAACAATTACCACAAACTAGTTGCTGACTTTTGCAACGCCTAACTTAGAAACTCGAGACAATGCATTTTCTTTATTTCCGTTATGGATTAAATTGTGTCGATGTAGCTGAATATACAACAACGCACTTAAGTAACGTTTAAATTGTAACTTGAATTTCATTTTAACTGCGCTGACGTGCGATTTTGATTCCCACGTTTCTTAAAAAACGAAACTTTCCACGAGGTGAAAAAATGACATAAAGCGCACTCAATTTACAGTTCAACATTCGAAATGCAGTTCAAGCTTTAAATTTTATCGTAGTATAATTTGATCTTCGAGCATGGAAAAAAAAATGAAGACGAGAAATGAGTGCGATGACGTCAGGTTTGTACAAGGATTTGAACGAAAATCATGAAAAGTAGTAAATAATTTTCAAATCTTTTGATAATTATATACTTAGAAAGGTTTTCACAATAAACATTTATCAGAAGATACACTTGCATTTGAAACATTTTTATTGATGTTAATTAATTAAAATCAAGAAATATTTTAAACTCACTGTGTTGTTTAAATAAGTCTTTATTGATTTAAAAATTAAAAAATAAATCTCACAAGTTGAAGGTGAGAAAGTGAAAAATTTGGCGACCAAATTTTTCGACATACTCCTAAATGAGGTATAATATTTGGTCCAAATTTCCTCCGTTGCCGTTTCTAGAAAATCAATATTTCTCTTTCTTCTTTGTTCAGCTATGTTATGATAATTGGCATATCGGATATATGGAATCGTCGTCTTTTTCGTACGTTTTGCCGTTCACGTATTTATTCGCCCAAAAATGTTGCTGTTTTAGTCGAATATTTCAATTTGAAATAGTATTTATACATCATTGAAAAGTGACGAACAAGAATAATGGAAATATTTTTTATTTAACAGTACCTACTTTGACAGTGTAACGAAATTACCATTATAATTTTGTTTTAGAACTACTGGTCTGGATACTATAGTGCTTTACCCATTTTTCTCTGAAGAAAACGTAGAATCTATTCCAACAAAACCTCTCTTCATTTTAGCAAAGAATTGCTTACTCCAGCTAGTTTTTGTCGGTTGTCACGAATCGGTTTTTGCAAAAGTTATTCTCTTTTTTAAATCTATTGTATCCATCGAGTTCCACACCACTGACTTCATTTAATTTCATAAGTAATAGTCGCAGCTCTTATGGTTCACTTCTACTAATTCATATTTAACAACGAAAATCATTTTAAAAGTCGCCTTAGATTTATAATAAATTGACGACCGCCATTCTGTACAAAACATATTCTTGCCGAAGTTTTAAAGTTACCACTTCTAATAACTCTGGCAACCGTGTTTTCAAAAAATGAAACAATAATTAAGTATTTTTATTAAGACACGGTAATACAGTATTTGTCCATGGTAAATTTCTTCTTCATATTTTTAAATACAGCTTATCACAGTATTTTATTAACAAAACTATTCTCTACTCCGCACGTTTTTTAATTGTTGAAACAATCTTCAAAAAGTAGACGCAAAGTTATTTTGTTTTTGTGTTAGTAGAAATGATATGTTTATGAGTTACGTCGATTTTCTTTTGTTAGTTTAGAAACAAACACCCCTGTATGTGCATTAAACTAACTAAAAGGTAATCATGCAGACTGTGCTACAATAGTTAACCACTTTAACATTTAACAATATTCACAACATCGTTGAACCTTTGTAGTACTAATCTCCATACTTAACAAGCGATATAAGAAATATCACCATCACCCATTCATCTTACAACCATTTTCCTTCCCAATTAATTCACCAGACTCTTAGTGAACGCAAAAGCAATTTCGTCGAATTGAGCGTTCCTTTGACCACGATATTCATTCTACTTACTGTATCGTAATTGGAACCAACTAGTGAATCTTTATTAACAGCCAGGATCATTTCCCCGATTTCTAGGCCGGCCTTCAATGGAAAAAACACAGCTTTATGTAGTAAAGAAACAATAACAAGCTCCAAAAAAGCGGTTCGGTTACCTTTTCCGCAAAGCTGCCCTCTTGGATGTCTGAGATGAATATACCTTGGCCCACTTCCGCATGCTTGCCTTCTATTATCATTATACCTAAGCTCTGGTTGCCCTATACACAACAGATAAAAAACACATAGGTCTCGTCAACCCATCGATTTTACTCTATGAGGTTATGAAAGATGATATGGCTACTCATGGGCGTCGACGTTCATATTAATTGCAGGTTAAATGAAACTGCAGTGTTTGCATTTAAAAACAGGCGATTTACATAAGTTAGTTAGCGTCTTGTTTCCTTTTGAACGGTTCGTCGATTAATTGGAAACTTTATTATGGTACGAAAAATATAACGATGTGTTTAATGGTTTACAAAAAAAAGTTTAATTTTGTTTAAGGGTAAAATTTATCGATAGGACTTAGATCCGTTAAATGTTTTGATGGTAGTGATTAGATTATTATTAGTGATGGTAAGATTAGGGTCGCGTATGGAGAATATAAATTGTGTGTTTATTATTCAAAATCTAATTACAATTATAAAAATGATACTACGTAATTGTTCACATCTATTTATAATGCCATTTTTATATTACATTATCGTGTCAACTGAAATTCTTAAAGCAGTAAAACAAGTTACCAAGTAGCCAATTAATTAAAAACAAGCATTGCCAAATTGTTTTAAAATTTGATAAAGGAAGTATGATTAATCATAATTACAATTTTATATTATTATCGTATACAGTACTTAAACATTTTTTTCGGAGCATTTTTCATTCATGTAAACTAGTATCATTATAGAAAACTTTAGAACTACCTTTTATTTTATGAATTCGCAGAATGTCTTCATTTAAAATTTAGTAAATTTTCTTTCCTACAACTGTCGTTACGTGGTTTTGCTTTCAACGAAAAAGGACCAAAAGCTTTTTATCTTTCATGATTATCCAATATAGCACAGCCATCAATACCAATAAACCGTTCGTTATTAATGTTTCTTCCATTTACTTCAGGAAAAGGACTTTTAATGGATATAAAGTGGAAAGATATTTTTTCTGCTACGTAATACATAAATTTTATGTCTATAAGTTTGTTCTTCGAGAGAATGGTTCTTTATGCATAGCAAAATGGCTTTTAATCCCAAAAATTCTAAATTTTGAACACGCTATAATGTTTCAAAATGCAATTGGTTTCAAAGTAGAAGTAACTGTCCGAAGAAATAAGATTTTAGAATTTTTTGGGGCAGAGCTGATGAAAATGAAAATAATGACCTCCAAATAAGTTTCAAAACTAGTTTCTGACAGACGACTTTCTAGAGCATTTTGTCCAGTCTCAGTTTTAAAAAACCTACAGTATATTTTACTTGTGACATCATTACAAAGACACTAATCACGTAGTAAAAAAAAACAGATAACATTTATACCTTAAAATTTGACTTTAAATTAACTAAAAAAGCAATATAATACAGCTGTAGTAGTGTAGTTATACATGTTAAAATTTCACAAACAATAGCAGTTAGAGATCTGCGTATTGCAAAATTTTTGTAACTGTGATAAAATATTAAGAAGAAATAATATGAGATAAAAGCTAAACTATAATAAGTGGAAAGAGTACAGTGATACTAAATATCTGTGGTAAAATTACTGAATTTCACCAACACTGTTCTTTTTAAATGCAAAGTATTTTTTTCTATTTTAAATATTTCTACAATTTGTTTACGTTTTTTTCAGTGTGTAGTTAGTTAAACGTTGTTAGTCTCTAGCTCCATCAACCTGCTTTATAGGTACAAAGTCGACACCAATGAGTTTTTTTTTAGTTGCTACACATCGTGTTAATGTTAAGTACAATTTCTTGCAAAGTAAATGTGCCATGCGTTACAGCACGTTTACCCCACTACATCTACTGTTATGTATAGTATGTACCTTGAAGCGGTACCCTAGTGTGATGTGTGGTGCGATGTGGTGCCATCTAGCGAATTGTGTTATAATGTCAACAGCAATATAAAAATTCTTGTGGCTGTGTGATAATAAATTAATGTTATTTTTTTACAAGGTGTTGGTGATGATTACTCCACTAATAAAAGAAAACATTTAATTTATTACCTTCTTAATAGCGACGGTTCGAACATTGGGATAGTTAGCACTAAACTGCTCCTCGGAGGCCTGTAGAAACAAAAATAACCTCAAACAACACATAGCAAAACATGCCGCCAAAAAGAATCATTTACTTTGTCCAGTTTTATAAGTGATTCTGCAACATTTAACATCAAAAAGAAGTCGATGCAGCGCATTGGGTGCATGTCAAGCCAACAACAATATTATGCATTCTTTCTTATCCTGTTTTTGCATCTTTTTTGTATGAATTGAATGAAGGCTTCGGGATAACAAAAGTAACGATAAAAACTTAAAAGCAAAACGTGATGGTACGACTAGAACACGTATGGCAACACTGTCAAGTGTGCTACTACGGAGCTGACCTTCCTTATCGTAGTCCGACTAATTACACTCAATTTAGACGAAATTAAAAAATAAGAAAATTACAGCAAGGCGGCTTTTTCTTTGTTTAGTTTTAAGTCGGAAGTCATTTATTGCAACAAATTGTAAAAAAAAGCAACACACTCGGGGAAGAAGTGTTTGCGCTGATTTTACCATATCGCCATTGTATTAGTGGCCTTCTGTATTGATATATTTTATACGATACAAAGTTATGCATATTGCTTGATTCTTATCACCGGAAGCGGTTTTATGATAACACTAATAATTACCTCAAGGTTGCACACAAAATGTTTTGCTTTTGAAAATGTAAAACAAGTTTCTTTGTAACGTATTTAAAATTGTCATTAATATTAATGGTTATGCCAATGAAGAGTGAGATCACTGCGATATAATCCTTGTTACTCTGGTTTCGTTACTAATTGTGGAAAGTAAAAACTTAATGATTATCTTTTATTTTTAATCTTAACACTGAATTGTATATATGTAATTATCGTGCTTGTATCACCTCAATTATTTATAGCTTTTGATGTGGTCTTCTAGTATTAATGAGGAGAATTACTGTGATTACAGAAACATTACTGCCGATAATAATTAAAATGAATAAAACGAAATTTTTTGAATCTTCGTTTAGTCATTACCGTGATAAAGCATGGACAGATAAACTTACAGATAAAATGATAAATAAAACACACGGTGTATCTGGAGGCAACACGTCTCGGAATTTAGATAGCGATCTAAAGAAGCTTAAAACAACGTAATAAAAAAGACGTACCCAAAGAATAAAACACTTTTCATGGTATTCAAACAGCGTTAATAGTTTTCGTTTTGAGAAGACATGCACTGTTAAGTTGCCATTCTCTTCATTTTTTATGTTGCTTTAACAATACATAATTTAACTTTTAAAAAGACCGTTAGAGCTTTCGGACACGTTTCCGATAACATATAACTACTTCAGTTAACACTTTATTTTGTTATGAGAAAATACATTAGAAAAATTAAAGCAAAATTTAATTTAATTTAATAATGAAACAATAATTTAATTTGAACTTTTTCTACAAATTCAATTCTAAGTTTCAATTTTCAAGTTTTTATAAGTCATTTTGATAATCATGTACTTATATATCAATTTAGAAGCAATCTCCCTGTATTGTGTTCGATTCCAACAAAGCTTTTTGTAAAAAAAATGTTTATGGAAAATTAAAAGAAATTATGACCAGTGCCAAAGGGGTTGCATGTTTTTGAAAATAAATGAAAGAAAACTATGTGTCATTATCACCTTAAGAATGCTTTTGTTTGACTGCGTCTTAATAAATTTAAATTTTGAATTGGTGATCAGGTTTCGGTTTATAACGAAAAAAATCGAAATACCTGTTTAAAGGGTCCTAGTTTAGAAAGCAAACAAAATAAACACAACAGTCTTATTTTTTCACGTCTATCGCCACTCACCAGTCGTATTAAGATGTGTTAACAGTCCAACGATACAAGGTTGACTTTGTTCAAACAAAAAAATGTATATCTTTTCTTGCATATCAAGTTCAAATAACAAGAATATGACGAAATCTGATATTTTTGGCTTTCTGAATATTCAGTTTGTTACGGCTTATTTTTACTCGACCGTATAGGTTTAAAAAAGACTTTATAAAATTAGTGCATACAGCTCCGGAGTTATTTATTTATGTGAAAACTCTTATAAACATATCAAAGTTCGAAGAACCTACTTAACTCACTATTAATAGTAAATTTTTGTACTATCTAGGTTAAAAAGTAGCATTGCGGTAAATATTGGCTAACCTGCTTAGTTGCATCTAAAGAAGATACCTTCTCTTTAGTTTATAAACAGTGCTTATCATTGTTGCAAACTTTATTACCAGCAAAAGAAATTTTTATTTGAGGGGAATTAAAGCAAACAATGCTTACTCTAACTGTATAAGCATAACGTGTGGTGGGAAAATATTTCGAAAAAATGAAAAGTAAAATAAAAAAAGCGTTATCTTTATATGTATAATTATGGGGTCCACGAAGACGTGTTTGGGCGGTTCAGTTACATGGTCTAAGGTCTTAGTGCGAGGTTACGATCACGGTTTAAAATTCACATCAACCGAACGACAGTTTACAACAAGATGTACTCTTATTCCTTTTTTTATTATTCAGTTTATATTTTGACGTTCATAACAATTTATTGACGCCGAGTGTAACAGTCATTTATATTTTCATGTTTTACTTGACGCCAGCTTTGAAAGAAGCTGAAATTATTCTTGCTATACAATCGTGTTAAAATTATTAGTTTTTTCCATATAACAACAAATTATTCCTAGACGTAAGGGTTTAGTTCAACCAAAATGAACTTTTAGTAAAACAAAATAGAACTGTATACTTTGTCCGTTTTATTTGTATCTCAAATTCTTGGTTCGTAATGCTGAAGATTTATGGTTTGAATACGTACATTTTAGTATGTGCTGGTCAGGGTTGGACTTTTCTTATTTGTTGGTAAACTGCAACCTAACGAGAAGTCTTTCATCTTTACCACTGGAGTCGTCACTCAATTCAGTTCTATATTTATTGCTGCAGTATACTAGTGAAATCGGGTAACAAGACAAGTCCAACTCTGTACTGGCATAAATTATCAATTGTGGGTGCGGTGGTTGAACATAGCAGTGCCCCCATTGACGAAAGAAGTTCATAAAATTGTATGAGGTGCAACTGAAACGAACAAAGTATACGTATATTTGTAAACATTGATTAATAGCAGAAATACGACAAGGAAATTAAGTTTTATGTTAACATGTTTTCTACACAGAGCTGAATTTATAATTTACCGCACTTGAATAACAGAAGCTTATGATTCTTATGTCTACCGACTTTTAGTTAATTTGAGTGAGAATATTTAGTCCCTAAAATAACAAACAGTAGACAAAAATATCTATGTGACATTTTGATTTTAACCTCTTTAAGGTTAACAAGACAAACAAGGACGATTTCCAGGCTTGGACTGTGTCAATTTTGAAAAGGGTTTCGGCGTTTTGCACACTTTCGTAAGGGACATCTTCTGGAAAAAGATTTTTGGCACTAGGGAGATTTATTTGGTAAATCAACCTAGTGGGAAAGCATTGCATGGCAATAGAAAAAATAAACAATTTTCAAAAAAAAAATCTTAGATTTACGGTTTTACGTTAACTAGGTATTGCGTTTTACATTTGCCGTCTCTCTGTAATTTGTGTTATAAACTGGCACACTTTTGTGAACCCCTGCGACATCTATTATTATTTATAATAATTGCTAAATATTTGTACAACTTCACCGAAAGTTGCAGATTTGTATTAATCATATTTAAATAGGTATTTAGGTCATAAAAAATGATAAAGCTCCTTTGGATCGTTCGATCCAGCGACAAGTAAAAATATTACTCACACCATAACAGATCAAAACATTTCTGTAACCACAACAATTGACCACAACAAAGGTATTACCGTTAAATTCGGAATTAATACCTTGTCGGATAATAGGCGCTTTGGCGCTTGTTCTTTGAATGAAACCAGAGCAGATGACAATTTCGTCACGGTCGCGGCAAATTGTGTAGAGGATCGTTAAGAGAAAATAATTGAGCGGACGTCAAATTGAAAGGAACTCACCTCTTCCGCCAGGGAAACTGGAAATTGTGTAATGGGCTTAACAGCGATGTCATCGATTGCAGTTTTTCGCCTGTAAAAAAGCAACGTCATGAAGATAAATCGAATGTGCGAGAAAACACTGGTTAACCACACGTATCAAACAACTCAAAAGGTAAAAATTCGTACCGCAACAGAAGGAAATACTGGGGGAACAGCAGTGTTAACATAACTTCTTAACCTTAACGGCTGACATATGCATGTTTACAAAAAACTCGTTCTGCCAGCTATATTCACAACAATATCTAATAGTAAATTTAATAAAAACAAACAAAATAGGTATTTAAACCTTGAAGCGAAATAAGGACAGGACGATTCAGGCGAAGTCCATCGGTTGATGTGTGATAGGGATTGATGGGTTTTGATATTTACTGGGATTTGTGGCATGAGATATTTGTGCGTAAGGACGAAGACGAGGCCGAACTTCAGCTCCGTAACAGTGAATCGGTCGAAAAAATAAAGGTTAAATTAAAATTAGAAAACGAGTTATAGGACGCCACATCTAACGCTCATTACGGGTTGCCTACACACAAAATTTTGTGAATGGTGCTTGACGACACTATGAAATGAGACTAAAAATAGGGAACCCTAACCCATTCATTCATTAAACAATAAGTGCTTGAGTTAGAAAATTACGATCCGTGTATGTAGATAAATAAAGTTGTTGTTATTTGTTAAATACAAGCACAATTTCGCAGTAAAAAAACTGAACAAAATTCGTTTGCAATGTAACAGACGATTTTTATAAAATTGAAAAAACAGGTATGTAACACACTCAGTTACAAAAATGTAGAAACTTGTATGAGGTAACCAATTGAAAAAATTCATTAAAATACATATCCTACTTTGTAAATATGATCAAAATCTACATATATACGTAAGTATATAAAGGTATATTTTTCAAATTTTCTGTGACAATTTTAGTTTTTTTAATTGTCTCTAGATCTTACCTAATACACACACTTTATGTTTTGATGCGAGATCTTTGGAAAACGTTTATGGTGTTTGGAATTTTGTTTTAGTTACCGTAATTAAACAATACTGTTCCAACAATGTGCTTCTCATTGTAGGGATGTTTTGATCTTAATTTGCTCAAGATGTGTTTTTAAGTTTTTAATGAGCCAGTTGGTACTCAGGGTTTAATAAATCGCAATTAGGTACGTCCAAAATTCGAAATTTGATTGATTAAGAAATTATCATGAATTTATTAAGTGCTTATGTCACTATCAGTAAAAGGAAAAAGTATAATAGATGCAATATAAAGATAAAAGGTGATAGTGACTTTCGGAAAAACTTCACATTTATCATTATTCTTTATTTCAAAGTAAGCGTATAGTTCCAAATCATGTAACTGGGCGTGTCATGTCATATTTGTGTCAGTAATGCTACAGATAAATAAGTAGGTGCCAATATCAAACTGAATCATCAGGTATATTTTTTAGTTTTTTGACGTTTGTTAGTAAATACAATAATGTGATCTATTCACCAGAGTGCTTTAATACATATAATTCTAGTATGAATATAATAATGATATAATACTATTAAACAAACAGAATTATAAGGAACTACCTTTTTTTATTATACACACCTTTGATTAGAGTGTATTTTGATTGGTGGGTCTGTTAGGCTCTAAAAATCAAATTAGTTCCAACATTTTACAATTTTTTTACTAATTTTTTTCTTAAAAGTACATTAAATTTACTTAAGCATCCAGATTGCATTCTATATTAGTAGAGATAAGTTGATAAAAAACGTTGTAACTGAATGTGTTCAACAAAAACAATTTTTGGGTGTTGCCAAATGTTTTCTACATTTTGTGTACTTACAAGAGATAAAAATAAAATTCAAAACATAAATATTATCGGAAACACCACCTACATACGGACATTTCAAATATATTTTAATAATATGCTATTACTATTATAATATTGTGTTTTGGTAAAAAAATATTTTAACAAACTTTAATATGTGAAAATAGTTTTACAACAAAATAAAAAGACGAATCCTTTATAAATGGAGCTTTTATACGATAGGTGGGTATTAACACTTACTTAACCTGTCTAATAGGGTCCCAAATTCAAACTAAGTAAGGACTTATATACATCTTACCACTACTTACCTGCTGGCATCTTGTTGTGTCTTTCTGTTAATGTAAAATAATCTGTATTTCCATATGATTACAACGAAATTAAATAAATATTTTACAACTAGAAAATCATTCATTTTCCTGCCAAGATTTGATCAGTGTTATTATTACTTTCCGATGATAACACTATACAGGGTGTTTGTAAAATGACGGATTAACTCTCCGCTACGCTCTTAACAATAAACTGGTGGGTCTGCGAAAAATAGTAAAACAATTCTTTTCACATTTTGGTGGACTTACAATGATTTTAAAATTGGATGTTTTTTTAGTGTCATTTGCCAAAATCAGTTTTATCTTAGCAAGTACTGATGACTAACTTTTACAAAAAATGATCAAAACTTGGGAACATTACGAGCACAAGGCAGGAATCTCCTCTAGTGTTTAGTCAGTTATGCTTTAATGGATTTTTCTTTAGTTGGTTTTGCTTCTGTTTATAATTTATAAGTGTCTTATTGAATGATTTTTTGGTTTATTAATTAATGAAAAATAACAGCTTGTTTAGATGCGTTCAGTATTGCCAATTATACCTTTATAAAATTACTTGAAGTATTTTTTGGGACTCTCGAAACTCCCGTACATAACGTACAGAAGAGTTAATCCGCCATTTTCCAGACACCCGGTACATATTGCAATATTTCTATTTAATGTTTACTATCAAAATGATTTGCTGATTTTTCTCCTTTCTGAAGTGTTAAAATAATAAGTATAATTTAGATCATTTTGTACATAGAATACAAACACTCTTTCAGCAATAAATGATAAAGATACACATATATTTTGCTTTTATTTAACAGAGTCTATAAGTTAAAAATTCAGAAATACTGATGAAAAAATTTGAGAGATTATTCATCCAAGTTATGTGCGGTCAACAAAAATCATCCCCTAGATATCCCTGGATTAACAGCTGTCTGTCTCATATCTAGTGCACTCTCGGCAATGAGAAAGAGAAAGACAACCGGAATGCCCAGCGCTAATTAAAAAGGGACTACTTTTGTCGATTGCTGATTACTTCTAACCGACTATTCTATAAACAGAAAAATGAGAAAGGTGCATTTTTATTCTCTTTGACAACTTGTGTTAAAGTGGTGTGAAAATTATCCACAGAACTCTAATCGTATTGGGTATTTTCTTGTTAGTAAATACTTGTCTTTTCCACTCCATTTTCTTTTAAATATTGATATCACCAGCTTAGTGATATGCTAATTATAGACGTATGAATAATATACAGATTACTACACAGTGGTAACAATGGAAAAATTTCAAAGGAATATTTTATATTAAATTACTTATCGCTTTATTTCTAGCTGAATTTATCACAGCATAGTAATTATGTGGCATTTTTAAAGAGAAGTATGATGGTAGCAATTGTATTGTAGTTGAAGCATCCCAATAACTGAAAAGCTCCTGTCTTAGTTTCTTATTTTAGTTTGTTTAATATATCACATTTAGTAATATTTTAAACTGACGTGCCACCTTTAGAATATATTTTTATCATTTTTCTGCTAGTTAGGGGAAGGTGGGGCAATACGAGGAACAGCGCAATACGTACTCAGTCTTTGCGGATATTATTTTTACAATATAACTTAATTTTTATATATAGAAGGGGTTACCTTAAATAGTAGAATTTTGAAATACGATGGAGTAAGACAAGCAGGATTTTCGAATTGTATTGCAAACTATAAAAGAATATAAATATTGTACTTAAAAACAATTAAACGAATTAGCGGAATACTTAATACTTAAAAATTGATAATGTTTGCGTTTCTTTTGTTTTGCCGGTATAATAATAGCGTATAAGTTGTACATACAACAGTTAGAACCAAAACGTTATTACGCTTAATGATAATGACATACAAGAAAATGTACATACACAAATTCTCCATTTGTGCAATGTTAAACTAACAAGAAACACCTAACACGAATAAATATATTCAAGACAAGATTGTTTTAACAAAATATTTATAAACTTTCTTCTTTTTAAACTGTACAGTTAGTTACTACAATACGAACTTGAAGCTCAATACTAAATATTATGTTAAGATGATACGTAAAATTTTATCTTAATACATAGTTCAAATGTAAGTTCAAAAAGCATATTTTATTTAAAAATAAAATATAAAAGAATTTGTGTTTCTGTCATTCAACAATTTTAAAATGTTCGTTGGCTAAAAATATTTCACTTCAATGTTTAATTGTGAGTTGTTTATCAGACGTCCCTGTGATACTGTTTACATAAAAAATTAAGTAAAAACAGATAGATTTGAATTTTTATCTTTATCGTTTCTTTTGTCGTACTTGTAGTTTATGGTGGTATAAATTATACAATGACAGATTCGCCGTAAACATCTCTCAGGCAATAAAACCATGGTACTTAAGACAGTTTTCGTATTGTAATGATTTTGATAAATGCTATAAGAATGTCATTTTTATTTTATAGCTAAACGGTATAATTTAAAAACATTGTGTCACAATATTACAGGATTACTTAACCAATTTTATTGTTCACTTAAGGAAATTTTTGTATTAGGTAAGTTACGGTATCTATCGATTATAATATCAAAATCTGTAGATTTTGTTTGACGCAACGTCAAGGAGGAGGGGAAATATTTGACAAGGTGGTGTACCGTATGTTTCTTACGAGTGGAAAAATTTGCGATATGAGCCGAAGGGGGAGTCTCTTGCTTTACTTTTTCTTTTGCTACACTTCTTTTCTTTCAGTTGCCTACAATTTTTAAGAAACAAAACAATGAGTCTTGAATGTACCCTTCTTAAAATTTAAATTATCTTGGGGTATGGGTACATACTTAGTCTAAGTGAAATTATTTTTAACCTAATGTGTACCTTAATATTCACATTTCTGAAAAAACTAAACATTCCTTTTTGTTGCA